AAAAACAAAAGAAAAACTCCCACACCCCAAAGTTCTCATGAGAAATAGGGCACTGCTGTGTGGAAAACTATGGACATTGATGAGTCAGAGTTGACAAGTGATGAGAGCAGTTGGATTCTAAACGTGGAAGAGTTTTAGAAAACATTAGGCCGTGGATAAACAGCCTCTAGCTTTATGATGGTTCAACATAGGATTTTTGTTTTTTACTTTATGGTGGTGGGAAAGCTGTATGTGCTCCGTAAAGCTATACTCAGTTTTGAATTTTTACCTAGTCTCTGGTTAGCAACATGCTGTATGATATTCTACAACACACTGTATTGCCGAGCCTTGATGCTTTGGTGAGTTGAGTGTAATGTGTTTTTGACTTAGCATGGTTTTATCAGAATTACCCCCTCAGAAGTCATGAAACATCTGTGCTTCATTTATATAGTCCCTTATTAAATATACACAACAGTGGTAGATAATAAAAATTTGTCTAAATCTGAAGGAGTGCTTCTAAAAAGAATAATGTTAAAGTTTGAAGTGGAAAGAAGGCATTGTTCATAGTATAATTGGTAGAGATTGCTTTTCTTTCTTAGAAGTAATAAAATAACAATGCTTCTAGTAAATGCCTCTGACATTTGATGAAACACAGAACCCTGTTGTTGTCATGGGGTTTTGTTGGGAACAGAAAAACCTCTACACATGAAAGAGGTCTATGAACATTCCAAGTGGCACAAGGTTTAGGACCTTAAACCCTTGGAACTTGCGTGTCCTCAGAGGGAGAGGCAAGGTGACTCCTGCAGATCCGGAGGCAGCTTGAGGAGTTGCCAGCTACCCTGTAGCGTCGGCTTCTGCAGAATCTGATCCACTGTTCCAAGCAAATACATGCCAGCCAAAGGGCATGGGGTACCTGATAAAAAGCACCACCAAGGCCCCACCCTGTCTTCCCCTAGGGAGGCAAAGGACCTGGAACTCTGCACCTTGATCCTTGCAGGAGAGCAGAGGCCTCTGAGCTGTCACTAAGTTCATAGCTGGGACCCCTGTTATAAGAGATTCAAGGTAGACTAACAGTAAGAAAACATGCAGGTGGATTTCACAGAAATTTGTTGTGATCCCGGAGCCTTCCGAAGTAGAGGCCCAAGAAATCAAGAAAAACTGCAGTTTCATGCAGGGGCAAAAAAATCGGGTATGATCTAATGGCAATAAGCTGGGTGGATGGGGATTCTTGGATTCCTGAATGGCGTTCTGTTCTCCCAGGTGTGGGGCGGGACCCCTCTGGAATGACTTGTTTTCGGGAGACCAGGTCATGTAGGGTTTATGGCCCACTTAGGAGAAAATGGGTGAAGGGAATTTTTGTTAGTCTCTGTGGCCTGCTTCTGTTTCCTTCAATGCTGAGGGTATATATTTCAGGATAGTGTGTCCTGAGCTCTGTCACCTGAGTCCCAGGGTCTGTGGAGAAAATATGTCCTTTGGAGCCTGTCCTGCCTGTCTATAGCATGTATGTGTGCCCCTGAGTCTATATTTAACACACACATGCATGTGTGCATAACTTAACCCATCTTCTGCTAGAACAGAACACCACAGACTGAGAAATCTGTTTTTGAAAAGAAAAATGGAAATATTTCTTACAGCTCTGAGGACTGGGAAGTTGAGAATCAATGTGAGGGCCATCTTGCTTTACGTTGACAGCCAACACGAGAGAACAAAGCCACTCACTGCGACTCATTTGAGCGACAATATTCATCAGGCCTTGAAGGCAGAGCCCCCAGGACCCAAGCCCCTCCCACAGGGTCTCTCCAGCACTCTTGCTTTGGAGGTTGAGTTGCCAACAAATGGTTTTTGGAAGACACATTCCAACCAAAGCACATGCTTATCTATGTACACCTGTGTATACCTTGTACACAGAATGTGTGTTGATGCAGTACGCATGAGCTCATACATGTATTTGATGCCTTGGTTTTAATAGTAAATTGCCTTTTTCCATATCATTGCATATTCACATAGGGGACGTGAATATGTAATGTTCCTGGCTCATGAAGGGGACAGCAGAGTGTTCTTTTGTGTAGGTTTATTCTAGCTTATTTCATGGCTAGTGTTATTAAATGATTTCTCCTAGTTATTTTCTACTGTGACATCAGTGGTTACCCTGTGGTCACTCTGTCTGTGCTTTCTGCTTTTAACTGGGTCTGCTGATTTCGACTTCACATGGTCTGGAGATAAAAGATCAAGACCTTTTTTTTGCATCTTCACCTGTGTCAAGGGGTTGAAGGACCACGTAAGATTGGAGCAGGGGTCATAAAAGTCATATTAAGCTCAGGCTCTATAAGCACCCAGACCCAGCTGATGAGCTCAGCCTAGGTGTTTTAACCTCTCTGGAACTTCATATATTGGATCTATGAAACACACTTTGTAGCATTGCTGAGGGAAGAAGATAGTATATATTAAGTGCTTGGTATAGTGCTGGCACTTACTTGGTAAACCCTAAATCAAGTTAACCAAGTTAACCCAACTAGGGTGGGAATAGGCAGAACTTCCATGCTGACAATCTTAAAGTTCTGAAATATGTTGAAAAGTGCATAACAAATATTACTGTTTACTGACTATTTGAGTCTCTGTTCCTTCCTTTTCATGAGTGGACCAAAATAATGGAAGACTAACATACTGTCAACCTTGTAGGTATGGCAGGCTTCCTGGTGTTGCGGGGCGTGACTTGTGCAGTCCCACACAGAGCCCTGGCCTTCATTTATCACGCTATCCTCACCTTAAAATCCTGCTTTCTGGGCCCAGCTCTATGGTGCGGTGGTTAAGGTCCTAGCCTTGCACGCCCGGGATCCCATATGGGCGCCGGTTCTAATCCCGGCAGCCCCGCTTCCCTTCCAGCTCCCTGCCTGTGGCCTGGGAAAGCAGCAGAGGACGGCCCAAAGCTTTGGGACCCTGCACCCGCGTGGGAGACCCGGAAGAGGCTCCTGGCTTCGGATCGGCATAGCATCGGCCCGTTGCGCTCACTTGGGGAGTGAAATATCGGACGGAAGATCTTCCTCTCTGTCTCTCCTCTCTGTATATCCGCCTTTCCGATAAAAATAAAATAAACCTTTAAAAAAAAATCCTGCTTTCATTTTGCACTGGGACCCACAAGGTAAATATTTCCGTTGATCAGGCTGTGGGAGGATGAAATAAAAACTCACAAAACACTGAGTGTAGTTCCTAAATGAACAGAACAGTTATTTTTTAATGAACAGAGACAACCACGATAAGCACATTAAAGATGTTCTAATTATGACAACAATAGTGTGAGATAAATATGTGATTAATGTCATTTTAAGGACAAAAGAACTGAGGCCCAAGAAGTTAAATTATCCACTCAGATCACAGGAAAAAGCCGGAGCTTGAATCCAAACTAAAGTCTTTGTCACCGAGAGTGCACAGCAATTGACCTGCTGTATGGTCAGTTCCCTTCCTGCCTTCCCCCCCAGAACCTCCCTGTGCAATCCAGTGTTCACGTTTCTTTGCTCCCTTTGCAAGAGACAATCTTGAATCTCCTCCATACCTGACACATGGTGATGCTACAGCAGACAGGGAGACACCTGGCTCCTTCTTACCCCCAGTCCTCTTCAGAGCTGCTGGTACAGACTTCCGTAGATGACCCAGTGAAACCAGTCTGGTGACAGCTCAGCTTGCTTGCTTCCTTGGGCTTCCAGTAAGGCCAGCTTCAGATGATATAAGACCTAACCAGGTCCATGAGCCTCAGTGGGAGACCTGCCCATGCTGGGCTTCCTGGCTAGGGGTGGAATGGGAGTTGTAACGGCTTCCTGTTACCGCTTGTGCATCCTTAATTCAAAAATGCAAATTCCGGAAGGCTCCAAAACTGAAAGATTTTTGAACACTGTTACAAAACAAGTGGAAAGTTCCATACTTGTTCTTCCTGTTCCAGTAAAAACATAGACACACCTTCAGACTGTGTGCATAGGGCATATGTGAAACAAATGAATGTTGCATTTGGAATTGGGTCTCATCCTCAAGATATGTACCAGTAATCTGAAATCCAAAGTATTTCTGGTCCCAAATATTTTGGATAAGGGACCCTCCACCTGGACCAGTAAACTGAGGACATGGCCATCTGGCCTGTGACAATGATCCCTTGCCTTCCTACAGTGAATGCCAGAATGTGAGTTACTCTGCCCACTCCCTTCTCTGCCAAAAAAGAGAGAGGATCTTTTTGATACCGCTAAGAGGCAGGCGTAGAGAATTGAATGCACGAGTTCTCATGCAGTTGTAGTCAGTGAGTGTTATCTCTGAGCTAGAAATTTTAAAATGTGGCTGTTTTCATCTCTTGGCTTGCTAGATGTGAATTTTGAGTGTGACAATGAAACTGCTTGTTGTTTGAAATCAATTCCCTAAGTGGCTGTTTGCTTAAGACTTTTGTAATGTGAACAGAGATTGGGGTGGGGGGAGTGGAGAAGCCATCTGCTCTGGCATCATCTTCCAATGACTAGGTCAAATAACTACAGAGCGCACTGGAGAGGATCCAGCCAAACACTCTGTCTGTTGTCTCCAGCCCCAGCCTGCACTCCTGGGCTGTCGTGTCTATGTGGAGACCCACATTACTAGGGGGAAGCTTGCTGTGAGATCAGATAAAACCAAGAGGGAGAGGACTGAGGTGAACTCCCTGGCTTCCCACCTGCATGTCCTTGGGACCAGTGAAACCAACCACCTTGGATTTCAACTGAGCGGCAAACCTTCTGGAGAAACTCAGCATCTTTTCTTTCTGACTTTAGCTGTACATGTTCTAGATTACAGTTCACATGAATGAAAGTGTTTATAAATTAAATTCATGATTTTTTATTTTCTTCCATTACTGTTTGGGTTCTGGAATCAGTTCTGTCAAAATCTGAGATGATTTTCAGGTTTTTTGAAATATAACCTGTCACAATTTATAAAACATTCTTCAGTATGTTTCTTCCTCTAAATTCATGTGCGGCTTTTTGTTTGTGTTTATTTTTTTCTCTTTTTGCTATTAGGCATTCATGCAACCTCACTTGCTGGGAAATGAGTTCACACATTTGGAGTTTCCAAGGAGAGTACAGAGAAAGGAACTTGGAAAGAAGATGCTCTACAGGGACTTTAATATGACAGGCTGGTAAGAACATGCCTCTCTCTACCTCAGCACCACCACACTGTGCATGATGGAAATCTGAAAAGCCACCTTCACAGCTTGGGTCAGGAGACACAGCCAGACCTGGGTTTCTGATGACAGACAAGGGGCCACACCCACCTGTACTATTTCCGTATAGAATCAGGTCTCAACCACAGGCTCCAGTTTGCCTCTGGTTCTCTGAGGCCTTCCTTAGGCATGCCAGACCCCATGATGCTAACCTAATTCCTCACCTCACATGGAATAAAAATATGGGAGCTTTCAAAATGCATTCGAGTTTTTCAGGATTGTGAAAGCAGCAGAGGGAGTGGGAGGCATGGGACAAGGTTAGTGGAGGCAGGCTGCCTTCAGTTTGAATCCTGACTCTGACTTTGCTGAATGAACAAGCCTGAGTGTATGTCTGAACCCCCTTAAAGCCCGTTTTTCCATGGGCTCTTTTAGGAAGGATCATTGTGAGGACTGGAGATATAAAGGCATTCTCGTTATTTTATCACATTCACATTGAAGTGTGTGTGTGCAGAACACACCTATGTAAATATCAAAACCTCGTCTAAGACCTAATGTGTTTCTCCTGTATTTATGGTGTATATGATGATAGTTACTTAAATGAGGTTCTTCAAAACACTAATGCGAAAAGGTATTAATTATGAGTTTATATTGGTGCAAGAAAAAACTTTGAAACCCTTACATACTTTTCGTGAAACATATCTTCTGTGCATTAGGAAAAGAGTTTTTTGTAGCAAAAGAAATTCATTTTTATTCCCATTTTCCCATGAACTTTTTTGAAGTCCTCTGATACATCACAGACATGGTATCAGAATTAAATGAGACTGGGGCCTGGCAGTCGGCAATATGATCCTAATAGGTGGACCTCCTTCCTGTCCAGAGAATTAAAAGAGAATGAGACGATGTGTATTGCCAGCAAAGGCACAAAAAAAAAAAAGAGATTTCATTATCTTTTCTTCATTAGCCAAAATAAACTATCTCAAATGGCCACAGCCTGAATTCCTGTTTAGGCTGGGCACCTATTAGGAACAAGCTGAACTTCCCAGTAAAGATAAAAGACTGAGCAAAGTGACTTCGTGGCGTCCTTTTACACCCAAAAGAAGGTCAGCTTCTGTATCTGGTCATCTTCCTTTAGAATGAGATTGGAAACCTGCTGCCTGAGAGCCAGACTCCACCTGCCACTCTGTAAATATTTTTTAATACAGTATACCTATGTGATCTACTAGCTTCACACTGCAAACAGTGATTAGTTAGCACAGAGACTGTGGCCTGTGACAACTGAAATATTTACTCCTTTTCTAAAGCATGAATGGGAGGCTCGTGAAGGGCTTGCTGGATTTGCGGCTCTGAGTCATGATTCTAACGCTAACTGGGGTTTCTTAGAAAGTTATTTTTTTTTTATTTCAACAAATCAGATCAGTACTTCTGCAGAAAAGTTGAAGGTGCGATGCGGTATAATTCAGAAAAGCACTGTAGTGTTTGGTCTGGGAATTGTACAGGGGAACACATAGACATGGGGGCATCTAAAAGACCGCCAGGAAAGTGGCCAAGTAGAATAGAAGGACTGTGGGAAACAGACTGGGCTGGTATTGAGGGAGCATAATAGGAGACAAGGGAAGCCAGTGAGACACTCTGTGTTGCTGTGAGAGGCTGGAGTTTGCCCTTGTGTACTCGTCAGGAGACTTAAAGGGAGGCTGCATTTTTGTTTTGCTTTGGAAGACTATCCTAAGAAAAGTTGAAAGGAGATTGAATGCAAGAGGGAGCAGATGGAGGTGTCCAGAGGAAAGCTATCATGGAAATACACGTGTGGCACCTCAAGGGCAACAAGAGGAAGGACTTAGAAAACAGAGAAAGAAAGGCAGTAAGCGAGAAACTGAATTTTAGGCCAAGGTGTAATTCATCAATGGTTCCAATCACCTGTTCGTCTCCTCACTTAGTCTGTTAGGTCCCACACCTGTCCTCTGCCTGATTCATGGTAAACAGGCAATGCTCCTGTGCTGACGGATGGGAAAGAGGTGTAATTGACCAAGGGCTCAAGGGCAGGTTGGTGTTATAGACTGGAAATTAGAAGGATGGGAATGACGAGTTTGCATTTAAGACGTGAAGCAGCATGAGTGTTCTAGCTGTGCCAAAAAGGCAAAGTCGCTGAGAGCAGTCAAAGCAAGCTTGGTGAATATCACACTTAGGATTTTGTCATGGTGGGGGGTGGGGGGAGTGTTCTTCGTAGCAGGTGCTTTGCATCCCTGCAGAGTGGGAGGGAGGAGCAGCTGCTGCCTCTAGCTTTGGGAAGCATCCCCAAGGATGTGATAAGCTTTGGCACTTTTTAATGGGCATGATACTTTCAAGGGTTTAAAGGTTCCACTGGAACCTCTTTTTGTAAGTAGAACGTACGATGAGATTGGTGGGGAGGCCGGTTAAAAATTATATTTCCCTCTTCCTTCCTTTGAAGATGCGCGCGCGAGCGTGTGTGTGTGTGTGTGTGTGTGTGTATGTTGAGTGTCTGGTACTTTTTTTTAAACAAATACTGGACATTGTGTTCCTAGAGAAAGAATGAAAAAAAACAGAGAAGGAAAGGAAATGAAAAACTAAATGATTTAGGTCAAGAAATAAATGTAAGTGGTAAGTCACGGATGACTCCAGCCACCTATTTATAGCTGTCTCCTCAGCTAGTGTGTAAGCTCCTTCTTAAAGCTCATCTTACTGTAAGCTGATTTTTGAAATGTAGATAAATTCAGGAACTCAGTGTTATCCAACTTTTTCGGCACACAGCCCTCTCCCCCGCCCTCTCCATCTCCCCCCATCGCCTCTGCAGCCCCTCTGCTGCCTTAGAGCAGTCCCAAGCAGTCCATAAATGGGCTTTTAATTGGATGGAACGTCACAGAAGATATAAATAATTGCTGATCCCAGACTGAGAATGGTTTCTGTCAGATATGATTTGCCGATTTGCATTGACCACAGGCAGAAATTTATGCTCACCTTTGTGCGTTGCCTGCCCGTTCTGCCGTTTCATGTGGAATGGGACTGGAGCAGAAGGAAAGCCCGTGGTGTGTGTCAGAACTGGGGAAGCTGAAAGCCAATTTAGATCACTACCTGTGCGGAAAGTGCCTCCCTAACTTTAATGAGTTTCTCTCTCTCTTTAATCTTTTTACCATCTAACTGAAGCCTCCGATCTAGCAGTTAATTTTTAGGGCTTACAAAAGTTGAGGTCGCATATTGTAGCCCCTCAGTTGTCCGCAGAGAAGGACTAGAAAATCAGCTCCCAGAGAGAGCTGCGGAGCTGTCTCCCCTTTCCCCATGGAAGCCTTAACTTAACCGCAGAGTTGCTGCAGTTGAATCGGAGTAAACTGGTGAGCATTTGAGGGTGTCCTGCTCACGGGTGGACACAAGACTTTGCCTAGTGTTTTATATTTCTTGGGTTCAAAAGTAGCCTTGGGCTGAAAACTCATTTCTTTGAATCCTTTCTAGCAAATACAGGGTCCACCTACTGCAATGCTTTTTGTTTGTTTAACAGAAGGAGATGGGTTATCTCTGATCCACTGCGTCATTCCCCAAATGCGTGCAGCTGCTGGAGCTGGGCCAGGCCCAAGCCAGGAGCCTGATCTCAAGCTGTGTTTCCCCTGTGGGTAGAAGGGTCCCTCGCACTTGAGCCATTGTCTGCTTCTTCCCAGTGTGCGCATTCTTAGGACTCTGGAGTCCAGTACTCCGCTGTGGGATGTGGGTGTCCCCACCAGCATCTTCACCACCACACCCAATACCTGCCCGTGCAAAGTCATTTAATCCTTGGCATAAATTTCCAACTGTCAAGATTTTCCTTTCTCCGTTTGTCCTCCGTGAATCATGTCGGTAACAGGACTAGCTAACACTTGTCAGGACTACTAAGAATTACACAGTGTTCTAGAGCTTTGCGTAACTGCCCACGTTTGACCCTTAAAACAGGCCTCTGAAGTAGGTACATTTTCCAGATGAGGAAACCCAGGCACAGAGGCTGTGTGTCTCAGGGCTGCACAGCGGGGAAGAGGAAATGGCTGGGATCTGCACGGGAAAACATGCCTGCAAAGAGCTGTCAGAGGTGGGACGATCCCTCTCCCGGCCCCGCGCTCATTCTGCTGGCAATCAGGTCGCGTCCGGGAGGGACATGGAGGTTACACCCGTGTACGAGAAGCAGGGCAAGGTGAAACGGACTTAGTCCATCATGAACTCCAGCGTGGACCGAAGCTGAGGACCCTCTGTCCTCAGGGTCCGTGTCTCCTTCACAGGGCTGTGGGAGACAGCAGGCTGCCATGGAGCATTTGAGGAGCTGCTGAGCCAGTGATTTGTCTAGTTCCCGATGTGACCCTGTAGACCACTGGTCAAATAAACCGTGAGGCTTCGCACTCATCACCAAGCACCTGTGTGTGATTTGGGGGCGGGGGAGGGGAGGATGAGGGAGATCCCAGAAGAACCGAGTCTCCTATGCTCAGGAAAATTGACTGTTCTCATTAGGAGAGCATCGTGCCAGCTTTCCGCGGTGTGTCTGCAGCAGGGAGGAAGTGTGGGAGAGGCTGTCGGCTCTGGGCAGCCTTGTCTCGTAATTAAGGATAAGTCTGTTGCCTCCTAACCGGGATCCTTTCTCTCCCACCCTCCTGCTTTTCTCAGAGACTGTGGAGCAGCTTGGCAGGCCCAGATTGTTTAGAGGACAAAAGGTTATTGTCCCCAGGCCCTTCATAATGAAATTGGTCTCTTCGCTGGCTCCCCCCAGCTCCCCTTCCCCCCTCCGCTCCGAGAGTTGGCACCATGGCTTGATTTACAAAGCCTTTTTCTTCCCAGTGCCCCCCAGCGCCACGCCAGTCCCCCCGAGGTGGCCTTCCTCTGCTCTCACCATCACCCGCTCAGTCCTCACCTTCTGTGCCTGGTATCATTCGTCCTGGTGCCAGAATGCCCAAGCCAGTGCAGTGCCCCTCCTCCCAGCCCTTTGTGTGGTGCTACGATTGCAGGATACA